GCAGCGCAGCAGAGGTTGCCTGGCCACTGCTGTGTGTAGTTCGTGACCTGAGACTGAGATGGTGGCCTAGCGGGAGCTTGTCTGTGTAAAGGACGATTGCAACAAGAAAGGGAAGAAATGGCAGCATCCTCCTCGTTAGCCTTGGATTTGGCAGGAAAATTAGATAAAGGAGGAACTGAGAGAAAGGTGAAAAAACGATAGAAGATACCCCACAAGTCCAAACTTTAGTCAGAAAATAGGGGAATCTGTGATCTGATGTACAGAGGGGCCTTCCAGTGATCCAGAATGAGAAGCTGGTGTGACTTGGAATACTCAGCATTTGAACTTCTGAAGTCAAGGAGGGCTTGAAAGCCAGCAATGAAAGAACCTATCACAGCCTGGGTTTGTGAGGCTGTGGGACAGGAGAGTGGATGGGAACAGTCAGACTGCTGTGGAGGCAGGAAACTGAGTCATGTAGCTCCCTACCCCTCCATAAGGCAGAGGCTGCACACCCTGAGACGGTGTGAGAGAAGTCAGTCTCAGATGGACTGACGTATCAGAGCCATTAGAACAATCTCCATCTGAGGTCCCCATAAATGTCCGGGAATGGAGGGCAATAGAGGAAGGAGAGGCTCTCTTGAGGGAACTAGGAGCAAGAGAAGCTGGGTTGAAACCCAGTCCACTGGGACAGGTAGAACTGTTTTTACAGAAGAGTTAGGGGAAAGGTTGATCCAGCGGGGACCTCAAGGCTGGTGTGGAGCTTTAGTGGCTCTGCTGAGCTCTCTGGTGAAGCCTGGGCTGTGTGAGGTAGGAAAGGCTTTGGTACAGCTCAGTGACTTAGACCAGCATGGAAAGGAAGTTCATAAGTAAAAGAACAACCTAGAGGGGATCGTAAAAACGTAAGGCAGAGGCAGAGGCCTTCTGGCTACTCAGAGACAGATGTAGCAGGATTTGTGGCAAGCTGGAGCTCCTAAGCAAAAGACTGACAGAGAGACAAATTGTGCGCTGAGGAGCTTTTGGAAGGCTGTAAGCCCGAGGAACAGTTCACAGAACCGTGATGGAGCAAGATAGGTGAAGACGGTCAAGCCTGCCCCAGGGGTGGGTGATTATCCCCCCCGGACTAAGGAGTGTACATTTCTCTCCAACAAAAGATTATGTTAGGGGTGGAAATGGTTTGTCCAGTCAGGAGCTCCCTGAACAGCCAGGAATGATGAATGGGGAGGCCACAGCCACTGTGCCAACCCAGGAGCCTGCGGGTGCAGCAGGGGAAACCTGGACCACATTCACCTTTGGCCCTGAGTAGGTCTGAGCAGATTAAGACTTGGTTAGGGTGGAGAGATGTGGTGACCCTGTGGAAGAGCTCTGGGCTATGGAAAGGGAATGGCTCAGAGAGAGTGACCGAGGGTTACAGAGCTAATTTAGTGTCTCCTATTCATGCTTTGTACCCAGCCTTGATCTGTGAAGGAAGCTGGCCTCAAACTCACAGAGATCTGCCTGTCTCTGCCTCCTGAGTGCTGGGATTAAAGGTGTGCGCCACCACCGCCCGGCTTGGATGGAACCTTTCTGTGCTGTTGTAGACCTTGCTTATGTTTGACTTTAGTGTCTTCCTAGGTGTGAACTTCTGAGATCACCTGACACTTGCTGAGAACAGGTGACAGCAGACTTTCAGAGTGCTTCACCACGGTTGTCTTTGTAACCCCACTGTTTATTGTGCAATGGGGGTTCGGGATGTTGCCTTGTCCTGCATAGTCTCTGAAAAAGGCTTTGTTAACAGGTGACATAATGCTACCTCTGAGGGTTTGCAGATTTGGAAAGACACATGAGAGACAGACAATCAGGTGCCATGACCCTGCCTGCTAATTACCTCACAACCCTTGGTTCACTGAAAAAAAATCCTGAAGGACACTCCCAGAGGCCTGAAGGTCACTGAATGAAAATTTCAGTACGGGGTGGACTGCCTCCCTGTGAGCTGTTGGGCACTGAAGCCCTACAAACCGTGAAGTCTTCTCCTGCTGTCCGTTGTATGCCAGGACTAAACATGACACCGTGTTGCTGAAGACACCGCACATCCGTGCTCTGACTGTCGGCCATGGGGAAACTAAGCTGGGACTGGACTGCAAACTCCCATCTGCTGCCTGGCTCACACAGAGCCAGAAGGGGCCACATGCAGGCTGCTGGTGGGGTACCATCCCCAACACTCCTGCGTGGCTGTGGACCTGTGTGCTGAAATACTGACGTGCGAGGCAGGATGGGCCTGATTGTGCAATAGTTGCTCAGTCAATATGGGCAAGAACAATAACCATTCAGTTGGATTTAAGGCCAGCTCCACAAGAGACGTACAAGTACATCTGGAACTGTAAACCAAACACCTGTGGCTGGGGAGGTCATAGGTCCCAGTGGGGAGGTGACTTGTATGGTTCTTCTAGATGGATGTGATGTGTCCGTCAGACTGCCTTCTAAACATGTGTGGTTGAACCCATAGACCACTGTTGTCACCCTCCGCTCATGACTGTGAAGCTCCTGAGAACAAGTGACTTACTGTGGCATGGTGGCCTGTTTCTTAGCCACAGGTGGACACCTATAGTCACCCCCACCAAGGTGAAAGAGGGGCAGAAAGAACGGAAGAGCAAGAGGTCAGGTCGTGTTAGTTTTCTCAGAGATTGAAACATTCCATCCTTCCAGAAGCTCCTCAAGCAGGAAGATAAATAACTCAAACTAGCCTCAGGAAGTCTCTGAAACTGACCAGAATCAGCAGGCCCCTCCCTGCTAGAGTAAGCCATAAAGCAGAGCATTCCTCTGAGACTTGCAGAACGGAGCTGCAGGAAGACCCTGAGACCCAACAGCTGCCCGGGAGAAGCAGAAACAGTCGAGCTGCCTGGAAGAGGGTTAGGCCACCTGGGCACCTGGAAAGGACGCTCTTCAACCTGTGCAGCTGCCTGCAGGCTGTGCAGTTTACTCTGGGTTTTCAGCATTGTGAACTGTCACTCATACTGGGGTGGGCTTTAGTGTTCTTCTTGTACCCCCCACACCAGGATGGAACCTGGGCATCCAAGTAGCTGAAACCATTTTGACCCAAATCTGCCAGGGCAACAACATTCAGGCCTGATCAACATAGTCGTGACAAAACCAGGAAGAGGCTGTCTCATAAAGTCACAGCCCTGCTCACAATATCAGGTCCTCCAGAACTAGAGTAAGAAAACCATCAGGTGCTGACCGCATGCCAACCCCACAGCATAGCCCACAAACTTGGCACAGGCCGACACACACACACAACCACACCAAGCCACACAGTATCTTGTTGCAACAGACACATCTCCTTGTGCACCCTGGAAGCCACAACAGTAATTGTGGTGTCACGAAGCACGCGTCACACCATCACCAGGTCCCACACACTCACAGTCGTCTTGTCTGATGTTTTCCGAGACGGTCTCATGTAGCCCAGGCTTGCTGTGAAACCAAGGATGATCTTGAACTTCTGATCTTCTTGCTGCTTTGTTTAGAATGCTGGGATCCCAGGCTTGTGTCACCAGGCCCAGTGTATGTGGTGCTGGAGAGCCAACCCCGGGCCACCATGCATGCTGGGTAGGCAATACTTGCAGAAACTGAGCCCTAGTCCCCAAATCTTGTGAATGAGTGCGAGTGTGTGCATAGGCCAGGGGTCAACCTTGGGAGTCATTAGAAATTGTCTGCTTTTGAGAGAGAAGATAGAAGGTCAGGGATCAACCTGCCTCGCTGCCAGTATGGGTTATAGGCAAAGAGGCAAAGGCCACCACATCTGCCTTTTTTTTTTTTTTTTTTTTGTCAGGGTCTCATTATATAGCTATGGTTGACCTGAAAGTTGCTATATGGTCCAGGCTGGCCCAGCTCACAAAGATCTGCCTGCTTCTACCTTCTGGAGTCCTGGGATTAAAGTTATATTCCACTATGCCTGACTTTACATACCTGGCTTGTTTATTGGGGTTCTGGGAATCAAACTCAGGTTTTCAAAGCAATATGAACAGCTGAGTTGTCTCTCTAGGCTCTGCCCTAATCCTTCATTTGCTCACGTCTGTGCTTCAGATGAAAGGCAAGCTGGGTAAGCACTCTATCACAACAGTCACCTGCATAGTCACCATGTCCCACAAGTGCAGAGTCACAATCTGCTGCTTTGCACACACCTGCAGATTTACTTACAGTCACTGGGGTCTGCTCTCACGCCCCTGGGGCTTCTGGATCAAGCTTAAAGTACACAGACTCATCCAGTGGTACCATTATTCCCTTTCCCCCACTCTGGGGAAAGGAAAAGATTCCTATACTTCTGTTCTCATGATAAATTGGGGGCCAGATGGGCACCCTCAGCCTGGCCTCCCCAGGGGTCCTGGAGCAGATTTGAAGGGTGGAGCCCAAACACCCCCAGGCCAACTCAGAGAGGGGGTTTCCATGGTGATTCTTCCCAAGGGAACTTGGGCTCACATGGTCCCAGCTGCAGCTGCTGAGAAGGGAGGCCATGGGGGAAGGGCAATGCACAAAGGTGGGGGAGGGGTGCTGCATTCTGCCCCCTCCCAAGTCCCTAATTAGATTCCAGATGGCAGATGGGCCCCACCCCCTTTTGCAGGACAAAGACAAGGAGGGGTCTGCCTGTGGGGTCCTGGTCACTCTGTCCTACCTCCTGGGCCTGGCAGATTCCCTAAGTCTTCCAAAGAACATGGGACTTCCTGCTAGTAATATGTCTCCAGTCAGGGGGAATGGCTCAGCTGGTAAAGGCATTGGTGCCAAGGCTGACCGTCTAATTTTGATCCCTGGGACCCACAAGGTGGAAGGAGAAAACCAATTCCCACGTTTGCTCTAGTGTTCACACATACAGTGGCACGTGTGTGCCTGTTCACACATACACACAGAATAGTAAGATAAAAGTAATTCCTCACACTGATGGGTGAGGGACCAGGCTTAGAGAAATAAAGCTGGGTGACCAATAAGGAAGAGAGAGAACCAAAGCTTCAGAAGGAATGATGGCAGGGGTCACATGGGGTGGGGACACTCACCTTGATGGTCTTTGTCTGCAATTTGAGGCCATTGAGGGTGTTGATGGCTTTGTCTGCATCATTGGGGTCAGAATAGTTCACAAACCCATAGCCCAGGCTCTGCCCTGTGGGAGGACAGAAGAGTGACTTCTCTAGTCTGCCCAGTGTCCCCAGCACACCTTGCCAGACTCCAGCTTCCCACTCGGATTTATCCTCCCTTTATGTTCCCTAGAGAACCACTTGGCTCCATCCATCCTGAGTTACCCCACCTAGGCCACACTAGTTTTTCCAGGGGTACTTCCTCCCTGCTGGTCACCAGAGGCCACACACAGAAAGAGCTCCACACCTGTGATCTTATCCCGAACCAACTTGCAGGACTCGATGTCCCCAATGCTGCCGAAGAGACTCTTGAACTCGTCCTGTGTCATGTTCTGGGGTAGGTAGTTGACGATGAGGTTGGTCTTGCTGTCATCAGTGGCTCCATTTGTCCCAAGGAGTGGCCCGTTGGGCAGGGCCGGGCCGGCCGGCCCCCCCCCAACCTGAGACTCCATGGCCCCCAGTATCTGCTGGAGAAAACAGGTCACACCCGCTCAGTCCCCATCACTGAAAAGAGGGGTTTGGGGGATGAATTAGGCATAGGCATGTCTAATATGGTATGAACTTAGTCAAAGAAGGGGTAACAGTTTTCACTGGGTTTTGTTTGTTCATTGGTTGGTTCTTTTGGTGGGGGCGGGGTTTCTCTGTATATCCCTGACTGTCCTGAAATTCACTCTGTAGACCAGGCTAGTCTCAAACTCAGAGACCTCTTGCCTCTGCCTCCCAGTGCTGGGATTAGCTGTTTGTTGGTCTCTTTGATTTGGAGATTTTCTGGCTGTGTAGGCCGGGCTAACTGTGAATTCACTGTGCAGCTCAGTCTGGGTACACAATCTTTGTTGAGACACTGGCTTACTACATTAGACTGTGCTGGCCTTGAACCCACAAAGATTCACCTGCCTCTGCTAGGACGACAGGTGTGTGCTGCTATGGCAGCTGTGTTCATCCGTCTTCTATGAGTTATTTGTGGGGCAGGAGAGATGGCACAGCAGGTAATGTGTTGTCAAGCCTGAAGACTGCGCTCTGTCTCCAGAACCCAATACAGGGGAAGGAGAGAGCCGATGACATAAAGTTGTCCTATGACTTCCACAAGTAGACCATGACGTGTGCACTACACACATACGCAAAACAAAAATTTTAAATGTAATACATTTTAAGATTAATTTTTAAAAAAAGCGCTGGGCAGTGGTGGAGCACACTTTTAATCCCAGCACTCGGGAGGCAGAGGTAGGTGGATCTCTGAGTTCCAGGCCAGTCTGGTCTACAAGAGCTAGCTGTAAGACAACCATGACTACACAGAGAAATCCTATCTTGAAACCCAAAATAAATAAAGTAAAATAAAATAAAATAAATGCTTTATGTGGCTAAGTATAAATGCTTTGTAAGTATCTTACCTGTGTATAATACCAACACTGAAGAGGCCTGAACTAAACAGAGACCTGGGCCTTCTCTTTTTTTTTTTCTCTTTTGGCAGGGTTTCATGAAACCCAGACTGGTCTCAAAACTTGATACGTAGTCAAGGTCAACTTTGAACTTCTGATTTTCCTGCCTTTACCTCCAAAGTGATGGGATTGCAAGAGTATGCCATCACACCACAGACCCTGTCTTAAAACCAAACCCAAATATGGTATGAGGGAAGCAGATGTGACTAAGATGGGTGAGTCCACAGTCTACTCCCTAACCCCACAAACAAGCATGGTCAGCTATAGTCTGGACAGGCTGGAATGTGCCCACAGAAGTGTGTATGTGCTGGGCCTAGGGGGCTAAGCTGGGAAGTGGTAGAACCTTTAAGAAGGTGGGCCTAGTGGGAAGTAATTAGGTCACTGGCAGGGACCCATGTCCTCCAGGGACCCTGGGCAGTTCCCTCAAGACTGGGTTGTTTGGGACTGGAAAGTAACACTTGACAGTTGAGAGTTTGATTTCTTCAGTCATCAGAGTTTGTCGGGTGTGACTCCAGCTGCAGGGGACAGGGCGCCTTACTGAGCCACCCCTGGTCCCTGTCAGTCTGTGTGTGGAAAGACCATCCCATGTGCCTGGCCTTTGAACACAGCAGTTCCTTCTTTCTTTGCTTTCCTGTCCTTCAGAAGGGAGTTAGCACATGCCATCAGGGATGGCATGGTGGCACCTCCATTTCCACTTCTCTGCCATACTGTGATCCAACCAAGGGGCTCCTAGAGGATGAACTGATAGACCACCTACTCTGAGACCTTCAACCTCCGACATGGTAATACATGCCTGTAATCCTAGCAGCAGGGAGGCTGAGGCAGGAGGATTGCCGCAGCTTATGGTCAGCCTGGCTGCACAGTGAGGCCCTAACGGAAACAAAGCCACCCTCAGAGTGCTTTCTTTCTTCCTAAAGTTCAAGTATTTACATTTTATTTGTCTATTGTGTGTGCAGCACACACTGCCATGGCACACATCTGGAGGTCAGAGCACACACACATCTGAAGGTCAGAGGGGTCAGATGCAGGCGGGTCGGGCTTGGCACCCTTTGCCCACAGGACCAACTCCCTCATCCTTCTTTTCTTTTTCTTTTTTTTTTTTTTGTTTCTATTTTATGTGCATTGGTGTTTCCTGCGCGTACATCTGTGTGTACTCTTCTTTTTTTTTTTCCAATTTATTTATTACGTATACAGTGTTATGCCTGCACACCAGAAGGGGGCACCAGATCTCATTACAGATGGTTGTGAGCCACCATGTGGTTGCTGGGAATTGAACTCATAACAGCTGGAAGAGCAGCCAGTGCTCTTAACCTCTGAGCCATCTCTCCAGCCCCCTCACTCTTTTCTTTATAAACATTCAGCTTCAAGTATTTTGTCACAGCAAGAAAAACTGAGAAGCGACTTCATCTAAACAAGCGAGCAGCTAAAATCAACCTGGGACTTTTCAGAACAAAGAAGGAGCGTGTGTCTTCACCAGAGGAAAAGTAGCAGCAGCCTCTGTGGTGGTGGACACTTCTAATCCCAGAGTTTAGGAGGCTAGCCTGGTCTACATATCAGCTTCTAGGTTAACCAGAACTACACAGTGAGATCCTGTTTCAAAGACAGACGGAAGAAAAAGAAATAAAAAATCAAACCAAAATAAAAACTGGAAATGTAACAATATTAGTAGCCTTAAAGTCACAGCCAAGTCCTCTCTAATAGGATTTTATTTTCTTCTCCGACCAGAAGTAACCCCCATCTGAAGTGTGTTAATATTTTTTTCTTTCCTCCATAATTTTCCTATTAGTTACTTACCCCATAATTTCTCTGTGAGCTATTTTGTTTTGAATTTCTTTCTTCTTTTTCTTCTTGTAATGGACCCCACATTGGGTACCAAATGAAGCATAATTAATAAAAACTCAGAGAGAGAAATTGGGGTTCAACATGAAGGTCAGAAAAGCAAAATAGCCAGCTACTGGATCTTGCTTTGACTCAGTCTGAAAATGGAGATCCAGCCTCCAGGAAACCTCAGAATGAGACTGTGTCTGAAAACTGTCTCCTTCCATCTTATAATCCTCTCTAGTTCTGGAATTAAAGGTGTCCATTGCTACTGCCTGGTTTCTGCGGCGAACTAGTGTGGCTACTGGGATTAAAGGTGTGTGTTATTCCTGCCTGGTCTGTAAGGCTGGACAGTGTGGCTGCTTTACTTTTCTGATCTCAGGCAAGTTTTGTTTATTAAAATACAAGTGAAATGCCACTACATCTTCTTTTTTTCTTTTGTAAAACATAAAACATTTACAAAGAATGACATTTTTATTTCTTAATTTCTAGACTGTATCTGTCACTGTTTTTTGTGGAGACCGGGAGCCCATCACAAGGGTCCTCATTTCCTGGTGTTAAAGAAATGCTTAAAACAAAAAAAAACTAATCCAGGTGGGAAGGCAGAGGCAGGTGGATCTCTCTGCGTTCAGTGTCATTCTGAATGCCAGGCTACATCGTGAAACTCTGGCTCCCAAAGTAAAAAACAGAGAAAAGTGTGTAGGACAGTTCGTGTGTGTGTGTGTGTGTGTGTGTGTGTGTGTGTGTGTGCAATTTCAGGAGTTCCCATGAACTCAAGACCAATTTGAGCTACACAGACCCTGTATCAAAAAGTTAAAAACAGAGAGTTGGAGAAATGGCTCAGTGGCTAAGAGCAGTGCCTGCTCTGAAAGGCCCAGGTTCAATTTCCAGCACCCACAGGACAGCTCACAGCCATTTGCTACTCAATTTCCAAGGGACCTGACACCCTCTTCTGACTTCTAGGGGCTTTGATACATTTGAGTGTATATTAACTCATACTGGCACACACATACACGCAAATACAGAATACATAGACTGTTTCAAAGCCCCAAACAAACAAACACACAGACAAATAATTAAAGCTTCAAACCTTTCACAGCTCCATAATCATCTTAGCTACAGATAATTCTTCCCCTAGGGCTGGCAAGATGGCTCAGCAGACAAGGCTTGGCTCCAGGCCCGGCAGCCTGACTTCAGTCCCCCAGGACGTACATTGTAGAAAGCGAGAACCCATTCCTGCAATTTGCCTTCATACCTCTTCCACATGTGAACCATGGCACACACGTGCTAACACATACAATAAATAAATATTAAACAAGGGAGGTAGAGGCAAGCGGATCTCTTAAGTTCAAGGCTAACTTGGTCTGTAAACCAAGTTTCAGGACAGCCACTGTGGTTACACAGAGAAACCCTGTCTCGAGAAACTAAAACAAACAAACAAAGATAATAAATACTAAATAATTTAAAAGTGCAGTTGAGAGATTTTTCCTACATGAGCTTTACAAGTTAAGATTATTTTGTGCAGAAGTTGGAGGTGGTGTGGCAGCACAGAGACACAAGCACCAAAGCACTTGAGGGGCAGAGGCTGAAGGTCCAGCATAATTCTCCCCCAAAAGAGAGTTCAAGGCCAACTTGGGCTATGTGAGAGCCTGCCTTAAAAAGAGAGAAAGAAAGAAAGAAAGAAAGAGAGAGAGAGAGAGAGAGAGAGAGAGAGAGAGGAAGGAAGGAAGGAAGGAAGGAAAGAAGGAAGAAAGGAAAGAAAGAAAAAAAGAAAGAGAAAGGAAGGAAGAAAGGAAAGAAAGAAAGAAAAAAGAAAATGGGCCAGCAAGATGGCTCAGTGGGTAATGGCGCTTGCCTCAAAAACTTGATAGCCTGAGTTTGATCCCCAGATCCTACATTGGAAAGAGAGAATCAACCCCTAAAAGATGTCCTATGACCACACACAATAGTAAATTTTAAACAAAGAAAATAAAAACCCAGAATATTTTCTGCAGGAGCTGGAGGTGCAACTCAGGAGTAAAGCGTGTCTAATGTGATCAAGGCTCTCAGTTTGATCTCCAATAGTTAAAATTTTAAAAAAAAGCAGCATTTTATTTTAACCTAGATTTATCCTTTCAGCAGGGATTGAACCTGAGTTCACTACATGCTGACAAGTACAGCACACTGTGGTATTTCTCTAGCCATTTTGTTTCTTTTTGAGTGGTCTCATACAG